AAATATGAAACTTTAGAGGGGCATTTTGGATTCACACCACAACCCTGACCATTACCATCGTTACCACTGTCATCATGCAACAGACATACTCTCAGCCAGGTTTAATGTTTCTAAGTTCTCTACAATGAGTTTTCTTGAAGCTCGCCCTTGGACTTCAGTCAAGGGTGATGCCAGCACTTGCAAATATTTATTCCTTGAGCACATTTTATGTTTGTTGTCAGAAATAAAGACGACCAAGAAAGTGAAGCGAATCCTTAGGGCCAAGTCAGCTCTGCTGAGAAACAAGGGTTGTCATGGAAAGACCAGATCCTTCAGAGGGGCCAAGTCTCAAGGCCACAGAGACGCTTCCTCCTGGAGGGTGATGACCTTACCATTGTGACAAGTGTGATCCTTCCTCCAGCCTTTCCTGGCTCAAAGATAGAAGACCTCTTTGTTGGGGGAAAGAGCTCCCATGCTCTGCAAACCTACTCTCACTCTCTCACCAAGAAAAAAAAAATGTCGTCCACAATGGCCATATCACCTATCAAAAAGTCATTCAACTGGAAAGCATGGAAAGGCAACATTGTGGTGTTTAGATGAAGTCTGTTCTGCCTGTCAACTTTGTTTCCAGGGAAAGATGCTTGGCTGGTCCACTCTTCACAGCCAAAACACTGAAGAACAGGACCAGGTGACCAGCAAAGACAGTGACCATCTATGAGCACATTGCCTTGTGCCTGATGTTTTGAATTGAGTGTCTCATAGGAATCATGACATTTTTAATATGCTGCAATGTGGATAAAAAATCTAGGACTTTCACTCTTTAATAAACTCTGGAATACCAGGAGCTTACAGTATATTGAAAAGAGTAGATTTCTTTTTAGATGATATGTTTGCAGTGATGCTATTAATAATGCAGTGTACAACAGCTGCTTTTATTTATTCATAAATACAGCACAAACATCTTACTTGTCAAAAGGAGAGGATTTTCTTTTACTATAAAAAGATAATTAATTCAGGCTGGATAAACTTAATGATGCATTTACCATCTGGGCAGAGCAAACAAAACACCAGAATGGAATTGTGTGAAGAAAAAAAAAAAAAAAAAGCAAAATATGGAATAAGAAAACATGCTGAAACTTTATTTTTATTTCTGGAAGAACAAATAATTTCCACCCCAAGAATTATGCTCAGGCTTATTTGAAAAGAAATATAAAAGGTAATAGGGCATAGAAAAATACACAGCTGAACTTGAGCAAAATTTCAGGTGGTTTCTTTTCTTTTTTTCTTTTCTTTTTACACACCAGTGACAAAAATAGAAGAGTTCCATCTGCACCTCTTATCCATGCCCGTGGGACACACACACACAAAAAACTCTTACCAAATAAAATAATGTAGATTAAAGTGCTTTATGAACCTTAAAGAATCAGAAATGAGTGAAAGGACTCATCATTTCCATCAGGCTACTGTGCCCTTACTGAAGCACTCACAGAAAGACACATCGGGGGCTTTGACTTTATTACTTCAAGTCAGGAAACTGAAGTTGGCTGATGACCATTACTTTTAAAAACCTTTGAGAAAGACGGGGCTTGTCTTGAAGAACTGTGACTGAGCAAATCCCCCTTTCACCTGGAGGCCCTCAGCTGTCACTAATTCTGCTGTCACTAACTCTGCATTGTCATCCTCCGTCACTTCTCTTTAAGCCTATCAGCTCTCATCTCTTCTAATCCTCTGCAACCCTGTCCTGATTAAATGCTTTGTGCCAAAGCTTCCTCTCTTTGCCCTGTCACATCTTGCTTCTTTCTACTTCCTGTTTCAACTGTGCCTTCCTTGTTGGCACGCTCAGAACACTAACTTCCTGCTCCTGTGCCTTTCTTAACCCCATTTTTCGTGATGAAAATCATTGGCATCCCTTACATCAAAGGGTCCTCAGTGAGACGTGACTCCAAATGTCCTTCCCATGAGGAGACTTTCCTGTAGGAAGACTTTGAACACAGACCAATTTTGACTGTCCACAGAGGCCAAGATGGGACTTGCATGTCAATTTTCTCATCTTCAGCCTCTAAAGTCACATGAATTGTAAACGGTTGTGTTGACAGTGAATGAGTACTTGCTTGATGTTTCTCTCCAAGTGTTGCAAGGGATTCACTAAATAACCACCCTGGTGAAGCATATGTAAGATGATGCTATTAGAAATACTTTTATGATCCTGGGATTTAATGCTTAAGGAGATTTTGATATCAACTCTTCGCTAGACAGTAGAAATGATGGCTCCGGTATTTTTTATGCATGTCAGAATTTTTAAAGCATGTTTCTTTTGAGGGATGTGAAAAAATCTTTAGTAGAACCTGTGAAATCAGTGGATATTTCTAATACTTGCTTTCTCTCTTGGTCTTTTTCTCCACTCTGGTCATTCCAAAATTTCTTGAGCTCTCTGAACTTGCCACGGTCCTTCCTGATTTAAGGCCTTGGCAGGCTGTTTCTGCAATCAACTCTTTCTGTTCTCCCTGAGACAATTCCTAATCAAAACTCATAGATAAGCTCTGCTATCATTTCTGAAAGAAACTCTCTGTCTGCTTGGATAAATCTGATCCTCCCTGGTGTCCTTCATAAAAGGGACAGCACCCACATGAGCATTTGGATGATTCACTGGATGATGCGATGCTTCTACCGGACTGCAAACTCCATGAGGGTTGACACTGTGGCCTTCCTACTTATAGCTGTAACTGCAGCACCCAGCATTGTGTTTGCATGCAGTAGGTTTTCAGAGATAAGGTTCCAACATGATGGGAGCGATGCAATCTGCAATGGAAGAAACAATGATAACAATGATGCACAAAAACAACTTGTAGGATGATTTTAGATTTTCTGAGTTAACATTGTTCGCCAAAGCAAAATGTATCATCTCACCTTTGCTTTTGTGTAGCAGTTTCCTCTTCAATTCTCCTAATAGTTTATTTCAAAATGCAGTATCAAAGAAGTAAAATATAGGATAAAAGCATGAGTATTAATAATTCATTTATTTCTTTGATGTTACATCAGACCGAGTACACAATTATGACTAGAAGATTTCATAATGTAGCAGAAGTTCAGCTCGCATGATAAATTCTTTGGTGAGGACACAGTTTAGTCATCAGGCACACTCATAAACATTGAACAACATCTCTATGGAAATGGTATTGCCTTTGAGCAAAATATTTATATTTGACACACGTATGTTATCCATGATTTACTCATGAGTGCGGAGAGCTTACCTCAAGGCTGATAAAATAAAAAGGAATAAAAATGCATTCTCTAGTATTTCTTTGTTGGGTGGGGAAGGGAAGAGAGAACAGTAACACTAGTTGATTTTCATACTGTCGTTGATTTGACCATATAAATTACTGAATTTGATGGCACCAGCAGTAACACATCAAAACATATAACCCCGCTTTAAAACTGCAGCAATAGCAGCAGAATAAAGTAATTCTTTTGATTCACTCTTCTAAGAGAAAGGATGAAAGTATATAAAACTAGACTTGTAGTTGGGTTTTAAAATTCTCTTGGCTTGCAAATCACGTATTGGCTCTGCTGTTTCCATACCTCCTGCCTTCTGGTCCTTTTGGTTTATTGCCAGAAGAGGGGAGAGATAATATTCTCTCATCTATCTTCTCTTTGCCTGAAATTAAGAAAGTGCAAGAACATAACTCTCCTCTATGACTTTGAATGCAAGCTTCATTTCTCTGAGGCTTACCTATATTGTTTGAGGTTGATATATGATTTTGTGCCTTTCTTCTATATAATGCATGGCAAATATTTTCACAAGTAGGACAGTAGATGAGACCTGAACCCAGTATTTTCTAGGCAACTGACACTGGGTTGGTCAATGAAGGAAGACAATGGAAGAAGGGTAGATTTGGAAAGAATAAAGATTGAGGTGAAGAGTACAAGTATGAAAAAATTGAAAGTGTTGTACATTTTATTTATTTAGTGTGTTAAGAAGTTGTAGATCAGGACTGGGAAGGCAGCTCAGTGCTCCAGTACTTTCCCAGTATACTTGAGGCCCGGGGTTCAATGCCCAATGGTGAAAATAAAGGTTGTAGACCCATCCCTGGAGTTTCTTAAGACGAACTAAGTTGATTGATATTAATTAAGTAACTAATGTGAGAAGAAAGAATTTTATTCCAAACATATGGAAAATTCCACATTTCAAGCCTATGTGTTCATAAAACCAAAATGTTACTGGTAATATGACTGGCATTATTATTTTCTGTCCACATTCACAACCATCAGAAGAGGACTAACCTTTGTCTAAGGATTAGATTGGAAACTTTTGAAATAAATGAAATGGCTTTTTCCTACTTTCCACCAACAAAAAAGCTAGAAATTTTGCAAATTTTAGAATATAATATGAAAAATTATAAACATTTATAAACAGAAAATCACGAACAATTATTTTCTGTCAGACTACCATGAATCAACATTTTTAAAAAAAAAAATGATTCTACAAATGTCGTAAACAGGATTGTGAAAATAAAATAGCTCTACTTTGGAAAGCAGGAAATGTAAATATAGTTGAAACTTCATTTTCTGTACACTCTTCTACCTTTCAATGAAGGTTTTCATTGCCATCACCACTTAGGATTTACTGATAGACATTATATGCCAATGTATTTCTTTCATAACAAGTGCTTTATATATCAATAACTGAATTGCAGAGGAAAGTGGAGGGCTCACACATTCTGCCTTTTTTCCTCATCAGTAGCCAATGCTTCCTGAGGGTGCTGCACCAAATGCAGAAGTAAATGAAGTCTCGCAATCAGTGGATCCAGTCCAGCTGCTGACCTCCGGTGTTGGTTGTGCCCTGCTTACTACATAATTTGAACAAGTGCCCCTATTTTCCTATGAGAGAAAAGAAATTCAGTGCGATTTCAATTGATAAAACAAGTATATAATTTTATTCAACATTTTATATTACAAATATGTACAATTTTATAATAAATTAAAAGAAGTTTCAGAAAAGTTCATAGTAGCTATGTCGCTGAGAGATTTTTTTTTTCCTGACTTCATTTCTAAGGGTTCATATGATCCAATATCCTGATTATCTTCTTGCTAGAAAAACTTGTTTTGGCAGCACATTTCATATGCAGAGTGTTTTGTTGGGTGTAAGCAATAGGAAGATGTTTGTTAATAATAGAAACGCTGAGGATCAATTGCAATCAAGAAGTGTTGATGAACATTTGTACAATATGTACAAAACTCTGCAAAAATTCTGCAATATTTTTTTCCTCCAATTCCTCACATTCTTTGCATCCAGATTCTGTTACATCCTGCCAAATAAGAAGAAAGAGTTAGATTGACAAGTCTCATATGCTTCCTTCCTGAGAATATATCATTGGAACCATACAGTCAGGTCTCAAGACATGAAAACTTGGGCAAATGAATACCATATTAGGAGGAACTATGAGAAAAGAAAATTGGGAAATATGAGATGGGTTTATTTTTCTTGTAGTGGATCACAGACATTGACACAAACAAACAAACTATGTCTATCAGACCATGGGCTTCCTGCTTATGTTTCTTATCATCTACTCCTGCATGAAGTCAATGCCTCACTGTGTGATATACAGGCTCTCCATAAGTTCCTCCTCCTGTTTTTCACCTTTTCCTGTTTCCTCTGTCTTAGTTACTTTTTTCATTGTTGCTGAGACAAAACACCTGACACTCAAAGGTAATGGAAGAAAGGAGCTCATAGTTTGCAGAGATTTTAGCCCATGGTTAGCTAGATTGAAGTAAGGGCGGCATGGCTCAGGGCCATCCCAGAGGAGCACTAGTCCATGGCAGAGCAGGCAGGAAGCAACAAACCTGCCTTTTTTATCTCTTTATATTTCACCCAGGTCATAAGCCTATTTGTTTGTGCCACTAACACCAAGAATGGCGCTTCCCTCCTGATACAGCCCTAACAATGTCACATATTAAGCTCTAGGAAGGCTGAGTGAGCCTCTGCCTATATTTCCTATGCACACATCATGCTACCACATGCTCTTTTGCCTTTGTTTATCAGTCTGTTACATTCCTCCTATTTTAGCTGCTGCTAAGATTATTCACGTACCACCTCCTCCAGGAAGGAGCTTCCCTGAAACTCCAAGCTCCTAGGGCTGAGTTTTATATTCCACCACCAAATCTTAGAACTCTTTCTTTGGGCTTATCTCATACAACCACATGAATTATATTCACATTATGCAGTTTTACCCTTTTTTATACCTTTAGCCTCTAAGATCTCCTAGGAGGGCAAGACCAGCTATTTCTGCTTCTCTATCACTAAATGCAGGGCTCAGCACCACGTAGCCACTCAATCCTTATGGGTTGGGTTGATCCATTTAAGTGGATCAGATAAATGATTCTCAGTAATCCAAACACAGCCTCGTGGATAACTAGAATATCCTACATGCAGTAATCAAGAATAAACAAATTTCAGAGACCACCCAAAGCACAGAGGCTATGCCAGCAAAAAAATCAAATTTAGATTTTATATCCATTAAGCCCTTGGAATTCAGATTCACTAGTATTTTTCAAGCACATCCAGTGTGCCAGGCACTGTCATATAAATCATGCAGTGCTATTTTGTTGGATCTTGAAAACAACCGTGTCAGTGAGGAAGGCAAAGACACTGAATCATCTGAGCCAACACAGTCAAATGAAATGCTGCACAACCAAGCCTGTGGCTGAGCGGGTCCTGCCCGATCACTCCAGTACCTGTGCCAGGCTGCCCTGCAATGAGAGTGACTATCAGCACATACGCAACAAATCCTACATTTATATGCTCACAAGCTGGCCCACTGATTAGATGGCATCACTGAAAAGGTGACCTGTACGCAAAGACCTAAAGGAGTCTTCTTTTTTGATGGAAAAGCCAAGGTGACCAGCCGTACCCGCTGGAGTCCCTGCACTTTCCTTCACCTCTGCCTGAACATGCTTGCCCGGCTGTCCTCCAGGCACAGACCTACATAGCTTTGTCGCATGGCAGCTTAGTGAGTTAAACTTTCTCTAAACTAGAACCGATGTCCCTTTCATCTGCCTTCTTTGGTGCTGTTTGACTTATATAACTGGCTGGCTTGTGACTTGTTTGTTTACTGCTTGCTTGATTTATATTTTTCCCTCAAGATCAGGGGTCATAGGTGTTTTTTGTCATTAGTTTGTTTTTTTGTTTTGTTGTATACTGCTGGCTGAAGAGTATTTATTAAATGAACTAATTTTACTATGCCTTCTCTCTCTATAACATTTTTTTCTGTCTGCCTTGCTTTAGGCAGCAGGGTTTTTCCATGAAAGCCATAATTCTTTGTACTTCAGGACAAGAAAGATTCTTGCAGCCCATGCCAAGAGTCTTTGGTATATTTGCTCTCCTGGAACCCTCTGCTGCACATGCTGCCTGGAATGCCTCAAATTCTACTCAAAGTATTAATTTGTTTTATTTTTTAGCTTCTCAGCATTTATCTCTCCCAGAGATGAAGACAGACTCTGGAGTGACAGTAGTTGGGCAGAAGTCCGGCTCCCCATTTCTTAGGTGCATGAATTGGAATGAGGGTTTCAAGCCCTCAGTGCTCCAGTTTCTTCAAGCTTCAAACAGAAATAAGGATCACCAGGTTGAAAAGAAAAAAAAAATAGGAATAATGGTCTCACAGATGTAATGTGAAGATCAAATGAATTATCAATTAGCAGCCTCTAAGAAGGGTGTCTGGTACACAGTAAAAACTTGATAAATGTGAATCACAATTGCTGCTGTTAAACACTTGATTATGTAATTAATGTCCATCCACTGCACCTGTCGGGTTCACCCCTATGGCTCTAGCACTGAAGCACATTGCCTGGCAATATTCATTAAATGTTTGCTTACCAAATAAATCAATGAGCAGCGTAGGATTGTGTACATGCCAGTGGTGTGTAATCAAAATTGTAAAATCAGAATTAGATTTTACATCCATTACGCACTTGGAATTCAGGTTCATTAGTATTTATCAAGCACATCCAGTGTGCCAGGCACTGTCTTACATTTCATGCAGTGCTTTTATTGGATCTTAAAAATAATCGCGTCAGAGAGGAAGGCAAAAACACTAAGTGACTCATCTCAGCCCATGAGGGCGAGTGAAACTGCACAACCAAGTCTTGTGACAGAACTGGATTCACTCTTCTGAGTGGCCCTGAGGATCTATTAGTGAGTTTTCCTAGTCAAACCAAGAACATCAGCTATCTCTCTGCACGAAGACAGGGAAACTCACCCCATTAGAAGATAAACTGCTGTTTGCCAGGAAGATCATGTTGGTTACTGTCTCATGGATGTCCACATTTCTGCACTCGTGTAAAATAACTCGCAACTCCAGGAGAAAGCATTTCATTGCTGTGATTTTGCAATTGGGCTAAAAATAAGAGTTACAAAGAACTATCTTGAAAAAATACTTTTCCATTATTCATTTTCTCATTTAGATAATTCCATTTGATAAAAATGTAGACACACAATTCTTGTAAGAAATTGTATATAATAAATAGCTTAATAGTTTTTAGATTTTGGCTTTGAAGATCAGAACCAACCAAACCAGTGAAGAAGCATGAAGGATAGTGCTACTGTATTGTACAGAAGAAAGAACATAAAACTAGAAAAGGTGGAAACAGTTGGCTACCTTTTCTCACTGAGCACAGTTACCCTGTAGAAAGGTTGAGGGCACCGGCCCTAGACTGCCAAAACATTAGTACAGAAAGTGAACTTGTAAGAATTTTTAAGCATCAAATTCATAACAGTTTAAATAGTAGTAGATGCAAGCCAAACTTTTCTTATAATTAATTTCCAAAGTTCCAGAGGCAGAGGGATTCCAAAAGGTTTACAAAAAAAAAAAAAAATCAACACAGCAGTAGTGCCTACTCAAAGATTTGTCAAATCAGAAAGGAACCTTTTAAGCACCACAAAAATGCATTTCCCACAAAAGACTTTTAAACAAAAACCTATAACTCAAAAAAAGAGAACTTTGAATTTGGACTTGACTATGATTTAGTCATTTTTGACTTTAGGTTCCCAATGTCTGGCCCAGTGCCTGAAACCACATTGGTACCTAACAGATTCTCACCTAACGGGTAAATGAATGCAGGGACTTGTCCATGTGCCTACGGTGGCAATGTTACCCTCCCACTCCACTCTAGATGCTCAGGACCAAAAGCTGGATCCTTTTGCAATCATAAAACTGAAGCTCAGAAAAGTCTAGTGACAGGTAGGAAATAGTTGAGTCAGTGTTTAAATTTAAATCTCCGGTTCTTTTTTAAGCCCACGTGTTGAAAGTTTATCTCTTTTGCAAAAAAAAAAAAAAAAAAAAGCTAGCTCAGGATGCTCATTGTTAATGGTTCCTGACTTCCTTCTGCTTAGAACAACAACAATAACCACCACAACAACAAAAATGCAAATGAAGAACAGAAAGCATGCTGAAGCCAGAGGGAGAACATTCCCAGGTGGTAGGTGAACATTTGCTAGGAAAACCTAGTTTCTGGGTGTGGCTTCTCTCTACTGCTTATATAATGTTAGTGGACCACAACTTTTACTTCAGAGAAGTTCTAATTGAGGAGTGACAAAGACAGGATTGTTCTGAAGCCATATAATGCAGTTCATTTTCTATGCAGTGAAGTTGGGGATCTGTTTCTTGGTTTCAGTGACAATCCAGAGGGAACGGACTAACAGCATGACCAAAATTCTACAAGCCTTAGGCGATGTCAGTGTATTAATGAAACAAGCTCATCATTTTTTAATTCTGGTAAGTTTTTTCAATGATGTTTCTATTCTCACATAGAGAATACTTAGATTTTCTGGCAAATGTAGAGATCTGTGCAAACTAAAGAACATGGATGCCCTTAAGCGATTTGTAGAAAATACGATTAAAGAGACAATGACACACTGCAGAACTGGAAATAACTGATATGCTGGATACTTTCAAATTGGATCAGTTAATCCGATTGTAGCATCTAATTGCATCATGATCTAACTACATCACAAAATATACAATATATTTTGTTTGACATTGATGGAAAAGGCATCTTTGTATTTTGATTTGGCACCATTAAAAATAGAATTAATCTAGTTCTTTGTCCCCAAGCCCCACAACTTCAACAATCACTTAGAAAATGCACTGATCACAGAAGAATGCACCAAAAATTAGATTTTAAAACTATACATTTTTCAGTTATGAATACATGATTCTTAGGCTTTTGAAAATTGGACAAGTAGCAATTTTAAAAAATATACTCACATGGACATCACTCTCAGTATATAAAGTAGCATCAATGTGTATGGACTGAAAGGAAACGGAAAGATACCATGAAAAACTGTCTTGCTTTAGACCTGAGAACAACGTACTGAAAACAGAAAATTAAGTTATTTATATTTTTTATTTCGAGATAATTTGAGATTTATACGCCGTTGTAAGAGAAAATACACAAGAGATCCCATGCTCCCAAAGGCCTGTGTGTTGTATGCTTTGTCCCCTGTGTGGCGCTATTAGAAAATGGTGGAAACTAGGAAGTGGGGCCTCATGGGAGTTCCACACATCACTGAGGTGTGCCCTCGAAGACACTGTGTTACACTCGACCCCCTTTTCCTCTTTTGTTTCTGGACCATGAGGTGAGCAGTTCTTCTCATCATAGCCATAGGGCACCCCCACCAGAGCCTAAAAGCAACGATCCTCCAGGTCATGGACTTGAACCTCTCAAACCATGAGCCAAAATAAACCTTTTCTCTTCATCAGTACATTTTCTTTAGATTTTTTTTTTTAATATAGTGATGGAAAAGTGACAAACATACATTTTTATGACAAGGTTACAGAATATTAGGTTCCATTTTGTGTAAAATATATCTATATGTGTATCTATTCTACTGTGTTTGGCCTATGAATGAATGATGACATGTTTCCATTGTAACAATATCATGCAAAACAGTTGTACTGGTTTAAAAATTATCCATATTCATCCCTGCTTATCCGTCCTAAACCTGGCAAGCATTCGTATTTCTATCATCTTAATGGTTTTGTCTCTTCCAAGGTGTCACACAGTCAGGATCATGTAATAAGTAATTTTTTACATTGTCTTCTTTCACTTAGTTATATGATGTGCAATTAATAAAACTCTTTAAATTTTTCAAGATGCATTACTGTAAAGGACACATTGCACTTAAACCCACTCTAAATACCACCCCCATACTTGCTTCAAACACACTTATCCCATTATTCTTGCCAGTTTCTGGAGCAGTTCTGGGAGTCCTCTCTTTTGAGTGTCTTTAGTTTGCTGTCATAGCTGCCTCCCTGTCCTCGAATAACCAAAACATTGACTTTTCATGGTCATTCTGACTTTGGGGAAGAACCAGAAGTCACATGGTGCCAGATCCAGGGAATAAAGGAGATCAGCACACAGTATCATGTTTGCACAAGCCTGTGTTGCCATTGAGTGACACTTCGTAGCATGATTCACCATAATTTTGATCAGTCTTTGTAAAGATGCTCACAAAAGAGGACGATTAGAACTGCTTTAAAGTTGGCAAAAACAACAGGATAATTGTATTCTAAGTGAAGAGGGTTGTTTTTAGGGGGATTAATGGCAATGCATCTTTTACTGTAATAATTTGTAAAAATCTAAGCATTTACTGTACACTACTATCAATCCTTTCAAAGTTTCTCCCTTCCTTCACAGCTTCATGGCTCACTTCTTTTTGTCACTGAACAGTATTTCACTGTGTAGATGTAGCACAATTAAGACTGGTTTTTGTCATTCAGTGTAATACACTGGAGATGCACCCAACTTTTTGTTGGTATCCTTAGTTTTTTTCTTTTTCATTGCTCAGTGATATTCTACGATGTGATATGCCAAAGTTTTTAACTGTGCACATACTTAGGCATATCTGAGTAGTTTCTAACTTTTCAAAATTATGAATGTCAGTGAACACTGTGTATGTTTATGTAAACGTAAGTTCTCATTTCTCTAGGATAAGTGTCTAAATCTACATTGCTGGATCACATAGTTACATAATGATAGGTCATTGTGGCTTTAATTTAGGGCCACTAAATATAATCATTTTTGATAAGTTTGTTGAAGACAAGTTGGAATGATTTCTAATTTTTCTATCCAATCTGCATTTCTTTTATTTATGTTTTATATTTCATGTCTTCTTTTCTTTATTGATTTAGCTAAACTTCATGTCAGTTATACTGGGTTAGAATCAGCCAAAATGACCCCATTTTTAACTTTATCAGCTCTTTAAAGACCTACTTTCAAAATATAGCTACATTCTGAGGTCCTGGAAGTTAGGGTTTTGGTTTATGCATTTGGGGGAGGAGATAAAGTCCAGTCCATGAAAGAGGAGTTGTGAGCATAAAATTCCCAATGATTTTTCTTATTATCCTTTTAGTAACTACAACAGATTCTGTAATGATAACTCCCAATTCCATTTATGATATCAATGGCATATGTCTGCTCTCTTCTTGGTCCTACTAGAGATTTATCAGTTGTATTTTTTCCAAATGACTAGCTTTATGCTTCACTGATTTTTCCTATTGTTTTGATTTCACTTTTATTAATTTATTCTCCTACATTTATTTTCAGATTTTTCCAAATAACTAGCTTTATATATTATTAATATTTTCTATTGTTTTCCTGACTTAAATTTCAGTAGTTTCTTCTAAATTATTTCCTTCCTGTGCTTGTGTTGGAGTTATTTTGTGAATCCTCTAGTTTCTTGAAGTAATTTGATATTTTCTCCATTTTCTAACATAATCACTTGATTTTTTTAGAAGCTTTTCCTGAGTATTTCCTTAGCTGCACATCACATAATTTGATATGCTGGATTTAATATTTATTTGGTTCTATGTATTTTAAAATATCCTTTGAGACTTACTCTTTGACTTATGAATTATTTAGAATGTTTGAAAATTTCCCTATTGTATTTGTTATTGATTTTCAGTTTGATTCCATTGCTTCTGAAACATTTCCATACAATTCAAGTTCTGAAAAATATTTTGAGGTTTATTTTACAGCCCAGAATATTTCAGTCTTGATATTCTGTGGATGCTTAAAAAAATGTCCATTCTTTTATTTATTTTTTTTTGCAATTTTTTTCAGCTTTAATTGAGTTTATTGGTACATTTTAGGGATACAGTACAGTTACATTCATTGTTGGGATCTTGTACCTCTACATGACAAGTCTTGGTTCTCATTTTTTCCCCTTGTCCCTGCCCTCCCTTCACCCGCTCCTCTGCTCCCCATCTACAACCACTTTATTTCCATCTTTTCTTATTGTTGGATAGAATGCATCTGTACTAAATAGATCCTGTTGTTGTTATCCTATACTATATCTCTTTTTTTCTCTACATAGTAAATCTCTGAGTTATGGAGAAGAATGCAGTGAAATCCTTAACTGTAACTGTGGATTTGTCTATTTCTCTTTTAGCTCTATTAGTTTTCACTTTTTGAATTTTAAGGTTGTACTGTCTGGTTGCATATACATTTAGGTTCATTATCTTTACCACATGAAATTTTATTTATCATATGGATTAATCTGTTATTGTTTAGAGTCCCTCTTAACTCTAATAATTTTATTTATCATGTCTGCTATATCTAATATTGCCAATTCTGGTTTATTATAAAAGTAGTGTATCCATGTGTATCCGTTTTATAGAAATGCTAGAACAGAGTACCAAAATGTGAGTGTTTAAAATAGCAGGAATATACACACAGTTCTGAACAATAAAAGCTTGACATCAAGGTGTTCTTAAGGGCCAAGCTCCTGCTGAGAGTTCTAGGGAACAATTTTTCCTTGCCTCTGCTATGTTTCTGGTGAGCCCTCAAATCTGTGGCCATCCTTGGCTGCGAGTTGTATCAATCTAACCTCTGTCTCTAAGTACACAGCATTCATCCTGCTGAGCTTCTCTGTGTCTTACGAAGACACAAGACAGTGAATTTCCGATCAATCTCTACTTTGGTATGACCTAGTCTTACTTCTCTAATTATATCTACAAAGATGTTATTTCCAAACAAGATCATATTCTGAAGTTTAAGTGGACATGGTATTTGGGGGTACACCATTCAACATGGTACAGCATGGCATATTTTCTTCTATTAACTGCAATGTCCTATTTTATGATACCTGAATTAAGTCTTTCATAGATAGCCTACCTCAGTTGAGGTTTGTTAGCAACCCTGGTTTTTTACTTGGTGTCCTCTTTCCCTTCTTTCTAAGAAGTATAGGAATGGTATAGATCTCTCTTTATTGTCCCTGGGTCCCTGTGGATCATTTGCACCTAAGTTTTCTCTCCAGTGTTATATCTTCAGGTTGACTATCTTTCCTCTATCATACAAATCATGCTAATGAGCCTTTCCAGTTTGTTTTTTATTTCAGTTACTACAGTTTTCAATTTTGTAATTTCCATTTGGCTCCTTTTCTCTTTTCTCTCTCTCTCTTTTTTAACATGGTCTTGATATGTAGTTCAAGCTGGACTTAAACTCATTATGTAGCTGAGGCTGCCATCAAATTTGCAGTGATCTCACTGCCTCAGCCTCCTTAATGCTTGGATTATAGTTGTGTGCCACCACACCCAACTCCAGATTTCTTCTATTTTTTTGCTAAGGCATTCTATTTTTTCATTTGCTTCAAGAATATCTATTATTGCATTTTTGAAGAATTGTTATAATGGCTGTTTTCAAAATCATGTCAGAAAATCCCAACATCTGATCCATCTTGATTCTGATTTTCATTTTCTTGGTATTTCATTCACTTGTATTGTGGCATTATGGCTATTATGTTAAGAGACTCCTGTCCTGTTTAAATCTTCTGTTTTAACATGCATTTAAAACATACAATTTAGATTCAGCATGTTCGATTTAGCATTCAGCTTAGATTCGGTGACTTCTGACAATTTGTGTGCTGTAATTCCAATGGCAGTTAAGTTTTCAAAAACTTTTTCGGCGCTACCACTGGTGTTCTTACTGATTCTTTTGATGTCACATATCAGGGAAGGAGGCACTTCTCTAGGCCATGTCACACAGTTCCTAAAGTAGAGGATGGGACAGCCTATATTCCAGGGATAAAGTTTACCTCTCCAGGCCACTGTCATGAGTGGGGTTCCTGCTCTGTACTGCTTGCTGGTTCTTTTGAGCCCTCTTCTGGCTCTTAGTGGAATAAAAGGGTCTCTAGTCCACAAGCCTGACATCTTTCCCAGGGTTAGGGCCACTCTGCAGGTACTGACAAGCTACCTGGTTTCTCTAAATAAGCAAAGGAAGTCTCTCTGACCTGTGGAAACTAGTTCTTTAAATTGAGCCAATTATAAATTAAAACTTAAAGAAATTTGAATCTGGAAAAAAAACAGGGAATATTTCTTTTGAAGTGTTGCAGAGCTTATAAATTTTTACAAACATGTTGCTTCATGTGATATTTCATTAAGGCAAACATAAGGTAACAGGACAACAAGGAGATATATACTTCATAGCAATTATACTTGCTATTTTATGGAAAAATGAGTACTTACTTGAATAAGATTTTCAATTCTTTTCAAGTCATGTATTACATCCTGCCAACTGGCCTCTGTTTTAGGAAGACTTGTACTGATACAGCTGAAAGAAAACCACAGAACAAATCACTTGGAATGAGCATACTATTTTCTTGTTGAGTACCATAAAGAGAGCAATCAAGGTATTTTTATTTTGGTCAGTTAAAAGGTCAGTGCTATTCTTGCCTTTGAGAATTCAACAGCCTTATAAGTGAGTATAAACAGTAAGTATACCTTGACACTTCAGGCTAACCAGAAGACAGGCCAACCTCGAGGATTAGAGAAAAGCCTAATTAGAAGCATAATTTATAAGTAACTTGATGTCATTCATCACATGAAATAGAAACAGTGCCAGATGTGTGGTAGTACTCATTAAGAATTTTGAATGAATTATCAGTTTTCTTTAAGTAGAAGTTCCATGAGACATTCAAGCCTAATGAATAGATGCAGATCTCAAAATAAGCAACAGTTACTTTCATGTAATGACTATGACAGAAAATGTTCTTTGTGACAGGTTCAGTGGGCCTCTTTTGTGCTGTGGTGCTTATGCTAGTCCTATGCTTGCAGCAGTTTTCTTCATATACGCTATAAATTTCAGCTCAATCCAGGCTGAATTATCACATTCTTACTTTGGTAAAAACTGAAAATTAATATCCAGACAAAAGACACTTAAGCTAAACAAATAGCTGTGGAATGATTCCTAGAGCTTCAGGAACAATAGTTATTCCTTGATGATTCTCACACAGAAGCATGAGAGTCAATGCTAATCTGTCTTACAAGGCGGATTTCTCTGCAGAAATCTATAGTTCCCTCAAACCATGAAGGCAATATTAGAGGAAAAGTGCACTGGGAGACATATTATTTAACAAGAGGTTAAGGGCTTTGGGCCAATTTGGTGCATTATATTAGCTATATCTAAGAAAGAAGAAAAAAGTTAATAGGCATGGAAAAATGAATGTTTCTTGGGAAGAGAAACAAAAAGCCTAACTTAACAGAGAAATGTTTTAAACCGAGTGAGGACAGAAATCAAACAATAAGAAGAATTAGCATTAGGGATAGATTAAAAAGTAACTAGCAAATTCTGAAAGTCCGCTTCTTATGCTGGGAAAATGTGAAGGACATCAAAAAGTGATGTACTTTCATGTTTAGTTAGCTACGAAGAGGCCCAATTTATTTGAGTGATAGAATATTCATCTGTAATATTACCAAGATAACACAAACATTACTGCACTTCTAAGTCCCCATAATCTGCCCCTTCTTTTACCCCATACTCTGAGTACCTGGAGAAAAGAGCCTGAGCCTTATGTCAGTGTCACAGGGAAGACATTAAGAGAAACCACCATCCCCACTGACATGAAACTGGTGTCTAAAGATGAAATTACCCCAAAAGAAAGACGTGAATGCCAGCCTCGGTTAAAAAATGACTGTTTAGAAGTAAACACAAGTAGCACTGGATGGAAGTACTCCTCAAATATGGTTTCTGAAAAATATAATCATAGATAAAATGGTAAAATATTTTTAGTTCAAAAGCTAGAGGTAAAATGACACTTTATCACGTTTTTTAAAAGGAAAGGTTATTATCCTTTCACAATCAGTAATGATAAATTAGAAATAATGAAACTAAAATTAACCTTCATTTTCTTTTCACCCCACCTCCACTTTATTCTTCTATGTATATGATTCTTTAGTTTGTATTTCTCCAGTAAAGGCCAATGACAATAACTTAACAGTTCATATACTTAGTGATTTACAAATAAACTAAGGTCAGCACTTAATATTTTTGATTATCTTTGGAGTCTTCTCCTATTTTAACAGGCTAACACAACCGATATAGCACAGATGAATAATATTCGTTAAAAGATGCATCCATATGCTAATTAATGATATATTAATGTTAATTTCATTTGGATAAAAAAGGCACCAACTAGATACTCTATCCCCAAAACCATGCATATTATACATTTTCTTGGTGATTTAGGAAAATCATTTATCTTAGAAATCCCCAATGTCTTGACACTTTTGCCTGATTCTTGTGTTACCCAGCTTTTATGGTTTCAGGAAGCAGTGTTAGCTCCCACCTCAACTATTAAGAGTCTGTGCTTTGTTTAGTCTCTGTTGAGGAGACAGAGGATCCCCAGATTCTGTCCTCTTAGGCTACACAATGTACCAAGCACTCTGTGTTCGAAGAACAACATGGATTGAGATTAGTGAAATAATGCATTTATGATGACATAAAGAGCACAGCAGGATTTTTCATCTCATTTTAAAAACAGAATTTCATTTCATTTTAAAGACCGTCCTTAGGAGAACCTGCATCTGGAATATCCCCAAATTTTTAGAGAATAATCCCATCACTTGCTGTGAACATCTGAGATTCAAGTGACCTTCTAAAGAAAAGGCCCTATGCTACTTTCACCTATTGTTTCTTACCGAAATTCTCATTACTCAACGCCAGGGTAAATCCTGAAGTACTGAAGAAGAGCTGGCTAAGACCACGGGTTTCCAGCAGCCATCCACCCAGAACTCCTCCTACAACACAAGGCAGGGCAGAGGACCATGAAAAGTCACCAGAGGGCTGGGTGGGAGAAGGAGGGGGACTGACAGTCACTGAAGTTTAATTGAACTTTTTCATGGGCACTGTATTAGTTCCTCATTATAGGCATCACGTTTAATCCTGCGAGGTGAAATCAGCAGCATTTTGAGTCGGCTGCCCCAGCTCCACGACAAGCGCATGACATCAATGATTTGACACCAGGTTTTACTGATTACAAAAACCAAAAACTTTCTTTTATATTTTATCTGAATGGATAAATTTCCGGGCCATATTACTGAAAAGTATATGAATCCAAATACTTCAGATTTATATAACCACTGATGGACAACCTTATTTACAACGGCAGCAGCTACTTCTTTTTAGCTATTGCTTTTAAAAAATAGTATACATAATGATTACATTTACCAGGGGGAGTTGGTGCATGTACATGATACATCTTACTTTTTATTTTGTCCTCAACTCTCCCATTCATACCTTGCCCTTCCAACTCTTGGTCCCCTTCTCCATTTGCAAAAACTCAATTTTAATTTTCTCTTCTATTATTTTTTTCCATCCCCTTTCCCTCTACTCTTTCCAGCCTCTCTCCATCTCTTGTTTCCACGATTCATTTGGAAAAAAATCTCCCTACTTCCTATTTATCTATCTTTGTTTTCTGCTCTCTCTCTCTCTCTCTCTCTCTCTCTCTCTCTGTCTCTCTCTCATTGAAGCTTTAGTGTCAGACTTATTTCACTTAATATTATGCTTTCAGGGTGCATCTATTTACCCACAAATGCCTCACGTTTATCTTTATGGCAGAGTAGTACTCCATTGTGCACATCAATATACATTAAATAGGTGTCTTCTGATCTTGGAAGTAAACAATTGTTAACTAAAATACTATTTGAGAATTCCATGAATAACAAAACTCTATTTTTTTCTAATTCAAAGTCAGTGAAGAGCGTGAAATTAAATATTTTCATATTTGGCTCCATTTTATTAAAAGATATTTAAAACCAAAATATAAAAAATATAAACAAATTTTCTGTTATTTAAAAATAATACATATTTATTGACCATACAGCACAAAAAAATCAGAATTTTTCATATCATCAGACAAAAGTATTCACTGAAATTGAGTTCCATAAACACATAATAATCATACTTTTCAGATGTTTTCAAAATACAAAAATCACTGGTTTAATGTATATATTGCTTTTTACTATTTTATGTTTGCAATACATGATTGTGACATCCATTCAGGAACTGGCACATGTATTACCTTGATTATTTTTTATCATGTCAGCGCCTTTCTCTGTATAAACTGACTAGGGTACTTGTTATAGAAACAGAAAGCTGATTAACACCTACTAGAATGAAAAGGCTGAAACCAATTTAATTCCCTTCTGAGAATACAAATATAATGCCAAATATACATCAGTCACTCACAATTATGTTTCTGGAGAAGCATGTGAGTAGAGTTTCACTCCTTTCTATGTACTGTAAATGACCTTGATATGACCTTACCATTAGCATCTCCGCCTGGCCCTTCTCTCAGCTGAGTGCCCAGATCCCAGAATACAAGGAAGGAAATCCCAACCCTACTCTCAAGGAGCTCAGAGCACAGAGTCCTGCCAGGATGACACGGCCCAGGGGCTATACCATGAAGAGGGGACACATCAATACAGCCAGGCAGCTGTGACAATGACAGTTCTATTCAGTACTGTGAAAATATCTAAAATGCATTATATTCAACACTGGCAGTGTAGCTCTTCCCAGTGAGGAAATATAATCCAATATCCCACTATTTTCTGTTTCCTCACTTGTCTAGTCACACGTTTAAAATTAACAGATTGACCAACCAACAAAGTTATACATATTGACTCACTGGGTAAAAACATCGATAATTCACTCAAAACTAATGAAGGCAAGTCATGATTGGGTAGAATGCAAAGAACAGGAGACAGGGTCACTGTCCATCATGCATTTAATATACTTGATGCATTTAGCACTTACTATGGGTTGGTATTTTTATGACCTTGAGACACATAAATAATTGCAAGAGAGAAAGAAGTTTGATTTTAGGTAGGAAGACAGACCATATAACTTACACGAGTAAGACAATTATATACTTTATTAGAGGTGACAAATGATATAGGAAACAATATACAGAACAAGGTAAGAGACATGAGGCTGTACTTCTGAGTACAGTGGTCAGGGTAGAGAGCAAGCAGGAGTCAGCAGCAGGTGTAAGTTCTCTGGTATTGCTCAAATTTCCTCAGGTAATTAGGACAAAAAGGTCAGGATGGAAGGCAGTGTGAGGAGTTGGAGGACAAGGACTGGATGAGTAGCCACAGAGGTACCTGGGAGAAATAGTCACCTGCAAGGGAGTAGGTAGAGAACTGTACTTAACTCCACAATGTAGGTCAAGCCAGGGCAAACAAGGAAGGGGCGTGGATGCTCAACGCTATGGAAGGGAGCATGGGGAGAGCTGTCCAGGAAGTATTTCCTTAGTATAGGACTCCATGGAGAAAGTGTTCTATGAGAGAGGCCTCAAAGCATGGATAGATTTTTTTAAGCATAAGGACAGAGATAGCATACAGTTGGAGGGAAGAGCTAGAGTAAGGATATGTACAACCAGGTGCAGGGTCCTTGCAGATAACAGTAAATCACTTCCATAATGATATCAAAGTTGTGGTGGGTCTGGGGAGGCAAAACTGTCACCATGTATAAAGCAGGAAGTGGTAAAAACTTTATATAAAAGGTCAGATAGAAATTATTTCAGCCTTCAAAGTCTTGTGGTCTTTATCATAATTGCTACCCAATCATGACTTGCCACTATCCTGGGAAAGCAGCCACAGACAATACACTGATGAATGGGTTTGGCTGTGTTCCAATAAAATCTCATCGAAGCAGGTGGTGGTGATGTATTTGACTTGCTAACCACATGTTTTCATAAATAAACAGTGGGTTGGCTGATGAACCCTGACTCCTATAGATCTCTTAATCAGGCCTAATTTCAGTACAGCTGAGAAAGTAATACTTTAAACAACTCACATCTTTCTGTCATTAACTGCACTGGCACTTTTTCAGTAACTGCTTTCAGGATGTTTTCAATCAAAACTGAGATGAAAAAAAATTTTTTTCCTTGCAGTACTGGGAATAAACTCAGGATCTTACACTCATGAGGCAGGTGTAGCAACACTGAGCTAAATGCCCAGCCCAAGATGAAATTTTCAAAAGGGAAATTTCCTCAAACACAATCTGTGTTCAATATTTTTTTAGTTAATTTTATTGGTTCATTTTGGGTATACAATATAATGGCATTCATCGTTAGAAATTTGTACCTTTACATAATATATCTTAGTTCTTATTTTTTGCCCATTACCCTGCCCTCTTTTCAACCCCTCCAACCCACCCTATTTACAAAGACTTTGTTGCCATTTTTTTCATTTTGTCAGAGTAATTCCAGTTCCTTCTTCCCATTTTCTTTTTCATCCCATTCCTCTGCCCTCGCTTCACCCCCCCACCTTTTGTTATTTACAAAGACCTTGTTTCCATTTTTTTTGTTTTCTCCTATTTATTCCTTTCCCTTCTTTCCTTTCCCCTACCCTTCCCACTTCCCCTTCCCCTTTAGGCCTTTTCTATCTATTTCACATTATCTATTATACTTTTGATCCTTATTTATACTTTCAGTTTCTCACATCAGAGAAACTTCAGTATTTACACATGTGTGTCCTTTTTATCTCACTTAAGAGTATGGCTCGATGTTATTCATTTAGCTATAAATGTCTCTAATTTCTCGTTCTTCATGGCTGAGCAGGACTCCATTTTTTTTAAACCCACATTTTCTTTATCCAGTCTCCAGTTGATGGGCAATTGGGCAAACAAAATGTAGAAGATCATTAAGAAGATCATATATGCTGAACAAGGGGGATTCATACTAGGGATTCAGGGATGGTTCAACATACACAAATCAATAAATGTAATACACTATATTAATAGAGCCAAGGACAAAACCATATGATCATCTCAATAGACACAGAAAAGCATCCAACAAAATCCACACACATTCATGATAAAAGCCCTACAAAAATTGGAAAAGACGATCACTACCTCAACCTGATAAAAGCCATTTATGAAAAACCAACAGCCAATATAATACTAAATGGTCAAAAACTGAAAACCTTCATGCTAAAATCAGGAAAAAGAGAAGGACATCCACTATCACCACTTCTATTCAATATAGTTCTGGAAACATTAGCCACAGCAATTAGACAAGAGAAAGAAATAAAAGGAATAAAGATAGGAAACAAAGACATTAAATTGTCACTATATGCAGATGACATGACACTCCATATAGAAAACCCCAAGAATTCTATCAAAAGTCTTCTAGACTTAATAACCAAATTCAGTAGAGTAGCTGGATACAAGGGCAACACAAAAAAATCAATAGCTTTCCTGTACACAAAAGACAGACTCACTGAAAGAGGAACTGGACAAACAACTCCCTTCACAATAGTATCCAAAAAATTGAAATACCTAGGAACCAACCTAATGAAAGAAATCAAAGACCTCTACTCTGAAAACTATGGTACTCTGAAAAAAGAGATGGAAGAGGATATCAGAAAATGGAAAGACATCCCTTGCTCCTATTTAGGAAGAACCAATATAATGAAATTGGCTATACTTCCAAAACTGCTATATAGATTCAGTGTAATCCCAATTGAAATACCAGCAGTATACTTCACAGACCTTGAGAAAATAATCCAAAAATTCATTTGGAACCAGAAGAGACCTAGAATAGCATAAGTAATTCTAGGCAACAAAGACAAGGTTGGGGATATCACAATCCCCAACTTGAAAATATACTACAAAGCCACTGTGATAAAAACAGCATGGTACTGGCAAAGAAACAGCTGAGGACTAATAGAACAGAGTAGAAGATGCAGAACAAGTCCAGACACACTCAGCCACCTAATCTTCAACAAAGGAGCCA